ACTGCGTGCTCATAGGAATATTGTCAATGGTTTCCCCAATATTCTTCAAGTTTGTGATGCATCAGTAATAATATAAAGTAGTAGTGCCTCAATCAGACGTTTGTGACTGGTCTACCCATTAGGTAGATTATCATTGTGTCACCTCAGTCAGATGTTTGTAAATGGTCTACCCAAGATAGATTATCATTGTGACACCTCAGTCAGATGTTTGTGACTGGTCTACCCTAAAAACATGTACCAGACATTTCATTTTAAATAGCCTTCTGCTACCAGCTGACCACAGGAATATATTTCAACATTAGTTTAACAGTTTACAAGTTACTATGATTATTGTTCCCTGCCTTGACATTTTGCTTTGAAATTGCTTCTTGACAAAAGGGCAGAATTGCCTGGAAAATTTAAATTTTAAGCCTGCACTGCAATTATTACTTCCCTGCTTATATAGTAATACACATTCAACAAGAAATCTGTTTGTTTGGACTCTGGAGTGCCATATTGAAACAAACTGCTGTTATAACATATGAGACCTAAAGTTGCACATGTATTTAGTATATATTTTCATAGAATAGATGCTTCCTGTTAGAAATGACACAGCCCTATGACCAGCATGGAAGTAGCCCTACAGAGCCTACGGGAGGTATATAGATGTGTTAGTTGGTCTCCATTACATATCTTGTAGCTTGTAAATTTGATATTTCCCAGAAATCCTATCCCTGTAAAAATTGATGTTATTGCTACATAATTATCTCCCTCTTTTTTTCTTGCCATCTCCAACAACGGTTGATGAGAGAACCTGAAAAAAATACTACTTGAACATATTTACATCGGTCTCCTTGCTGGTTTTTTTTTTTGAGATGTCAGACATGAGAAAAAACAAGCCTCATGGACACCTCCTGGTTTCCAGTGATACTGGACCTAACCCCGCCTAAGTGTGAAAGAATCAGACAACCGTGACTTTCCCACGAATACTCTCCTAACATTTTCGGGATGCACACATTGTATGTAAGGAGGAGTGAGAGTGAAGTGTAGATATCTCACCTACGATCTCACTGGGATAGAACTGACGCTCACCCAGTGATGGCCATCAAACATAAAAAAACACATTAAACTTAATTACGAAATGCCAGGAGTTTTTTCGCTGAATTCCACATCAAGTTATATTTATTGTACAGCATTCTTAACTCAATGTAACAAGTTAATTATTGGTTTTAAATATTTATTTAAACATTCAAAAGGAACTTAATGCTATAAAAGGAAATAAACACTGTCAAACCTATCGCCAATACAAGTTGGAGTGTTAGATCAATTGTCATAGCGCTAGCTGTTAAGTCCCCATAAAAATACCAAAAGCTGTTTTTATTGATCTTTATCACAGATTCACCTTATGAGAGTACTTTCTAAAGGAAATGCTTTACTTAATTTACAATATCTAAAATTACCTTATGTACCCTTCACCTAATCTCGACCTAGTTCACAACAACATAAAACATGCTTCGTAATATTTCAAGATGTCATCATAAATTTCAAAGAGAGTGAGATGAAATCTTGTTTTCAAAGGTTACAATCATGATCAATCATGAGGTGCTCAGACTTGCTTTCTATGCAAGACAAATTGCCAATAAATCAAATACTTGTTGATACCAAAGGTAGAGAACCGTGAATGTGAGTGAGCCCTAACTCATTCACCCCTGAAGACACATGTGAACTCTCCCAATTCAAAGGTAGGAGTAGTTCATTATGGATTATCGGGGGTGAATGAGTCAAGGAAGCTATGTTTTTGATTTAGTCGTTTATAGTACAACATAGCCTGCAGTGTGATATTAAAATACACCTATCTACTCAGAGGCGCCTATATTGATAAAACTCACATAAATGTAGCAGCTTTACAAATTATGACACAATCAAAGTACGAGCAGCAATTTCCGTGACATAAAGTTTATGATATGATTTTATGACCATATGGTGAAAGGATCTCATAATCTGACTGAAGAGATGATAACTCACTAATCAAATGCTTTGATTGGAACAAAAAGATGTGTTCAGTTATTACCAATACTGTTATATTGAGGAGTGACGTATGTTTTTTGCTTTATATTACTTATGATCAAAATTCCCATATATACCTAACAAAAAAGCATCTGCAGTTTAAGAAAAAATTGAATACAGTTTGCAAGGTATATATGGCATAACCAGAACAAGAGGCCCAGAGGTTCTGTATCGTTCACCGGGATGATAAGCAACCTTCTGAAAATATTCTCATACACTATAACACTGTAACTGTTCCCGGTGGCCGATCCAGAGACCTATCTGGGGGGGGTTCCAAATTTCCTGGGGGGGTTTCCATGTGGGGGAAAAATTGAGGAAAATGGTGAAAATACATGATTTATAAAGAAAATGATCAGGGTGGGGGGGGTTCCTGAAGCCCAAAAAAACCCTCAAAAAAAGCTTACCCCAATTGCCCATCTTTTTGCCCCAAATTGAGTACCCTTTGCCCAAGGATGCTCTACACCAAATTTGTTTCAAATCCCTCCATTCATAAAGAAGGGGGATTTTAAACGGTCAATATGTTCTCCTTAATGAGCCCCAAACCCTCTGCCCCAAGGGGAGCTACACCCTTCATTTCTATACAAAATTAAATCCCCTCGCCCAAGAATGTGTCCATTCATATAGAAAGAGATTTTTTTAAGATTTAGCTCAATTTCCCCTCCTCCCCCTCCATTTATACAAAATTGAGTCCCATTTGCCCAAGGATGCTCCACACCTAATTCGTTCCAAATCCCTTAGTTCATACAGAAGAAGAAGGATTTTAAACAGTCATTATGTTCTCCCTAATTTGCCTCACCCCTCTGCCCCCAGCGCAGCCACACCCTTGGTTATATAAAATTGGGTTCCACTTGCTCCCCTACAGCAGGTGAGCTTAAAAACCATTTTTATTTCTTATAATTTCATTTGAAAGACAAACACTAAATTTATGAAAAGCTGATTCCTTTTTGAAAAAAAATCCCCAATACACTTTAATTTCCAAACAATATTAATTAACCACTAAGAAATGAAAATTTCAAAAACTCCTGTCAATCAGTGATTTAGAAATTATGAGAAACTAAAAACTGAGCAATGCTTGTAATTAGCAAAATCAAACTATTAGATAACGATGTCACAGGCCAAACAATAGTAACACATTTTTATGTGTCAAAATGTTCTCTTTATAAAACATAGTTCTAGCATAACCATCTTGTTGTCTTAATCTAATAAGGAAATTGTTAACATTAAATATCTTAACTTTAAAAATGTTTTTTTTTAATTTATCAAATGTGTATGTATTACTACGTATTCTATACATTAAATGGTATAGATGAAAAGGTACAATGTAGGAGGGTCTGGAGTTTGAAATTGAACAAAAATGGTACTCACCCTTCCGGTGGCCTGGCTGTTCCGGCATTGACTTCTACTGAAGTAAAAAAGATAAATTCCACAATAACAATGATCCAAGTCACAAAACATGTCTTAACAAATCGTAATCTTCTCAGGGAAATATTGGGTTTCTGCACCAGGAGATGATGATAAGTCTGTTTCGCCCTCATGACGAATCACTATAAAGACCAAACTATTTTTTTCTCCTATCCTTTATAAAGATTAGCACACAGGGTAATATCAGTCCTGAGGTCACGCCAGACACACCCCTTACATCAGCTGCTACAGTTCAGTCCATGTGTATGTCTGTGGAGAAATACTTCCACAACCCCAGGAACAAGTGTTTTAGAACTCAAGTGGTGCCAGCCCTGTAACAGTTCACACACAGGTTGTCCGTCGGTTTTTATTCACCCCTGGCTTCACATGGATGCCGTTACAATGAGCACTCAAATTCAAATTCACTATTTGATCCTTTTCTCCAAGACTTGTAAAATTTCCTTTGAAAAAAATTGGAAATGTCTTTGATTTCCTGCAAAGCAATTTGTTTTTTGTTTTTTTCCTTACATAAACTGCACGAGTTAAGCTAAAGCTTATCAACTCCACAACCACTACTTTAGAACATCTGTGCCATCATCTGTACAAGTCTCACCACAGCAAATCGTCCTCCTCAAACCCCAAAAAGGTGGGAGTAAATGGTAGTGTAAATGTGAAGCCTGCTTCAATATTTATACAGAATTTAGAGAAAATTTGATTTGCACTGGAAATGTTTGTGCTGTGGTGACAGTGTTAATCCTGTGTACATACAGAATGAGACACAGAGATACTGCTGCCAACAAAGACACTACATATGCTATATAGTACCAGCAGATTGGCTGTCTCAAACCAAATTGTAAAAAAAAACGTTCCCGCAGCTGTCACGCTATGCACCAAGCCTAACTGTATTTGTTTTATCTTAATTGAGAAGTGGTATTTAAATCCCAAACTTGTTTCACCGAGTCCACAAGTAGTGTCTCCCCAAATAACAGAGAGGTCTGCTATCCTATCCCACTCACTAGAACCAACTCTGTATCTCCTGTTCTCAGCCAGTCATTAGTAGCCAGCTAATCTCCCAAAAGTTTCATCAAAAATTTGATATCTGACCTATATCTCAATTTCCCGGGCTGAGTAAATGATGGAGCTACACTTATCCTCAAAGACTCTGAAGAAAAATAAACATCGCCCGTGTCCTCTGTATCTATGCGAACTGCTGAGGCAATACTGATAATATCAGCTCCATCTTTCCAGGGGATTTCAGCGTTCCTTCTGTTAATATCTCCTATGTTTTCACGATCGTGCACAGCAGGGCGTCAAAAAACTACATCCTAGACAAATATCTGTGTATTTCTATTGCAAACTTCGTTCAAAGTGATTCATGCTAAAATACATGTGGGAAATACCAAAAAGGTTATCACTGGTAATCAGTAAATATCTATCCCCTATTCCAAGGGGAAATAACGGCTGATAAACACTGCTCCAATCCTCTCTACTCTATGAATGGAGTTCCTTATTTTCCCACTTATGTGTTTATCAATAGTAAATAAATTATTTTTTATCTGATGTACTGGAGGCAAATGTAACCGTTTTTAACTTAAAGAAAGGCTATTACAAGGAATACTCTGTTGGTGAACAATGCTGCTTAACTGGATTTTTTTTGGGGGGTGGGGGTGCGGGGGTTCAAATCAGTCACTTTTATCACAGCCTTTCTAAGATTGAGTCAAATTTAGAATGTATTCTTGGCACAGACACTATAGTGATGAAGCAACTCCTTATTGATGCAGTACCGAAAATCTCTAATTATGAGCTCCAGTATGAGTTACCGAAAACCTCTAATTATGAGCTACAGTATGAGTTACCGAAAATCTCTAATTATGAGCTCCAGTATGAGTTACCGAAAATCTCTAATTATGAGCTCCAGTATGAGTTACCGTAAATCCCTAGTGATGAGCTCTGGTGTGAGCTACCATAAATCCCTAGTGATGAGCTCCGGTGTGAGTTACCATAAATCCCTAGTGATGAGCCCTAGTGACAAAGCCCAGTTTCTCCCCAGTAATGAGTCCTACCAATGAGGTATGGTAATTTCTTAGAGATAGACAGTATAATCCCGTTATGACAAAGTCTCATATGATGATCTACCGCTGCTCTCTTATAATGAGGAATTACCCTCACACACTAAATGTAGACCTTTGTCACTTTGACCTGTTGAATGTTCCTACAGTCACTGACGGTATGAATCCTTCCACAAGAAGAAGAATACATAAGAATGTAATCAAATCCTTTTATCGTCTAATTTTATGCCACACTGTTTCCAGCACCTATACAGAATCATCTGTTGAGTTGGTAATACACATTATCTGAGGGATAACTCCACCAGTTTGTGTAAATCCTATTACTCTGTACTAATGAGAACCTTTTATCCCACAGCCTTACAGACAAAGTTTACTAGTTCATCACCTTCTGTGGCAATTATCACAAGGAAAAATACAACTATCTCTCCTCATTAAGTCTGCGCGCTACACAAGTCAAAATGGCTTCACTAAATTTGGCAACATGAACATACATGACAGGTTCAGCCCAAATAAATACTGGCTAGGTTTGAGTCATGATGCTATTTATTCACACAACTAATGTCCTTGGGGTATGTTTTTCATTTCAAATCAAACAGTTAATATTTAAATGCCCTTATGTACTAGACTAATGGTCAAGACTGGGCAATGCAGGGGCACAAGGGGATCTGGGGCACTGGTCAAACCATACACACAAGCAACGGTCAGTCATTAGTGTATATCTAGGTAAGTGAAGATATTGTGAGATTTTTATTAAGATATATATATTTCAATAGATCTTGTCTTCAATATTAAACATGGAGTGTGTACGATTTGGCAATGATAAGTCTGACATTTATTGGGTCTGTACTAGAGCCCCAAGCGTGTGGTCTGTTCTGCCATGTAATATGTAGTGTGTTTGCTGTAGTTCTTACTTATTTACAAAGAGTATAACAAATTAAACCTTTACTTCAACATAGGGACTACATTTCTGTTAAACACAGGAACTGCTTTTCTATTAACTTATTCACCCCTGAAATTTCATAATGAACCATTCCAACCTTTAAACTGGAAGGGTTCAAATGTGTCTTCAGGGGTGATTGGGCTAAACTCAGTTTAACCGCTATAGTTGAGGCACCATTCTATAGAAGCTGAGTGGCAAATATCAGGGATTTTTTTTATGCTTCAGGAAAGCCTCAGCCTTGGTATTGTCTTTAATAAGAGGACCAACAGGCCTGTTTGGCTTACCGTTTATGCTGTTGTGACCTTTAAAGTAGGTCAAGGTTAATTTAGCAATGTAGCAAGCAAGTTAACACCCGACATTTAACAGGTACATGGAGCCTTGTTACATCAATGGTATAGATTGGTTCTATTTATAGGAACAGTGCCCATGATTTTGTTACATCAATGGTATAGATTTGTTCTATTTATATGAACAGTGACCATGATTTTGTTAGATCAATGGTATAGATTGGTGCTATTTATAGTAACAGTGACCATGATTTTGTTACATCAATGGGATAGATTGGTGCTATTTATAGGAACAGTGACCATGATTTTTTTACATCAATGGTATAGATTGGTTCTATTTATAGGAACAGTGACCATGATTTTTTTACATCAATGGTATAGATTGGTTCTATTTATAGGAATAGTGACCATGATTTTGTTACATCAATGGGATAGATTGGTGCTATTTATAGGAACAGTGACCATGATTTTTTTACATCAATGGTATAGATTGGTTCTATTTATAGGAACAGGGACCATGATTTTGTTACATCAATGGTATAGATTGGTGCTATTTATAGGAACAATGACCATGATTTTGTTACATCAATGGTATAGATTTGTTCTATTTACAGGAACAGTGATCATGATTTTGTTACATCAATGGTATAGATTGGTTCTATTTATAGGAACAGTGACCATGATTTTGGGTGCACAATGCTGAAAGGTGAAGCTGTTCAAGTTACCTTGCTACTTAATTTCTGTTGAGGTTGCAGGTCTGTAACGATATCACTTCTCGATTAACTCAAAGATATATGAGTAATAGGGTTATTTCTCCTGAATAGTCAACGCAAGTTTGGGGGGGGGGCAATACTGTTGAGTCAGGATTAAAAGTTTGGATTAAAGACAGATAAATGGGTTATGCCAATAAAAAACTTCATCCTGTAGGTATTATCTTGATACCTGTAAGTGTTTACCTGTAAGTGTTTACCTGTCAGTGCAACCTTTGCCCTGGACTGTATAATTATGGGTTATATAGACTTGTAGTGTAACTTATAAGGGCAGGGTGCCTTATACAACTGTAGCATTGGCCATTTTGCTCTGAGTTAATCAGAATTTCCCTTTAGCTCAATTGGTACAGCGATGGACTGGTAATCTGGGGGGTTGCTTGTTCCTGGTAGAAACACCAACTGTTCTCCATCCCATTACCAATGGTTACTACCGCCCTACCTGAACACATTTACAAGGGGGAGTATAGCTAGTGGGGGAGATTTTAATTACATTCAACTTTGTACTAGAGTGAATTTCTCTTTTTATTTAGCTAGATTGGTAGAGCAGCTGACCAGGTTGCTGATTTGATTCCGGACAGAAGCACACTATTCTCTTTCCTGTAACACAACCATACCTCCACAAGTATTACTACAGAAATCACTAATGACTGGTCCCGTGCCACATCTCGATATTGGGAAACTATATGTAAGTGGGATATCAACATATACACACTTGTATGTACCTGTAGCAATGTATAATGCATGTGGCATGTACTTTTTGTGGAAATATGCATATATATATATATAAGTGTGCATTGTAAGTGTGTCTTGTTATTTAGCAGAATGTCACTGTGTGTGATGTTGAAAGTACAAATAGGGGAACAGGGGCAGTAAATTCCTTGGCCAGTTAGGTGTGACTGCATTATACAGAAATTAAACACAACTATGCCCAGAGCTTCTAACACTTGCTTTATCCACTGTGTATAATGGCTAGTCAAATGGCATTCAATATCATCTACATACAGCATTTTAAATACCTAAAATTCTTGTGATATTTGTACTATTTATTTTTTATACAATCCTTTTTACACAGCAATTTGAACCTGATAACAGCCTCATAAACATAGGGAAAAAAATATTTCTTGTTATCTTTAAAATTCTTTCCAATAAGAATTTGTGAGTTTATACTGGGGTTGATGTCACAGATAACATTATGATTTACATGTTTGCTATATTTACTAATGATTGACATGCTGTATGTGCTGGGAAAGTGACCTGGCCTTGACCTTTCTTAATATACCTGTCCCCAGGTAAAAACCCGGTAGCAGCTACATGTCTAATACATTAGATAAATGACACAACTGTTTATCAGAAATACTTGGATAACATTATAAACATATTTTTTATATGTGGTGCTGTTATTTATAACAAGGGAAAGACATCTCATTCTCTAAAACACTATAAGTACCATATACATCACTCAGGCTGAGAACTTCCAGACAAGGTTTCCAACGATGTCATTCATATTGTAGATGCTCTTAAATACATCTCTCTCTGAGAAGTACGTTTAGACATGGAGTCAGAAATGTCACAGATTTTATTGTAGGGTTGGTATATATACATAAAAGACAAAAGATGAGAGACATCCATGTTTAATTACATATGCTCCTCTATACAGTCCATCCATCTACCTCTGAGAGGTGGCAGCATAATGCATTTATTATTTTTCAGATTCAGAAGATAATTTTAGATATGATTCATCAGTGACACATCCAGACTCTGATATGGTAGGCTATCATCACTCAAACTAGATTTAAACAAAAAAAGGGAAACAAAAAGCTAGATCAACCTCTGTATAGGTAAATACGTACAATAAGGCTTCTACAGATACAAAAAGCTAGATCAATCTCTGTATAGGTAAATACGTACAATAAGGCTTCTACAGATACAAAAAGCTAGATCAATCTCTGTATAGGTAAATACGTACAATAAGGCTTCTACAGATACAAAAAGCTAGATCAATCTCTGTATAGGTAAATACGTACAATAAGGCTTCTACAGATACAAAAAGCTAGATCAATCTCTGTATAGGTAAATACGTACAATAAGGCTTCTACAGATACAAAAAGCTAGATCAATCTCTGTATAGGTAAATACGTACAATAAGGCTTCTACAGATACAAAAAGCTAGATCAATCTCTGTATAGGTAAATACGTACAATAAGGCTTCTACAGATTTGTTTTATATCTCTTTTAATTGATACAAAACTTACTAGTATTTACAGGAATAGGCACAACTCTTGCTTCCCGGTGGATTGGGAATGGTCTTCCCTTTGGTGTGTTCACTGCAGTACAATTGTATACTGCTTCCTCGGTGACATTTCCAATCCAGAGCCGAGATGATTCAGTTTCCGTGCCGGACAACTCTACTGAGGCCCGTGCCTTGTAAGTGATTTCCATTCCCATTGGGTATGGCTTGTGTAACTGAAATAACCACAGACAATCAGGTAATGTTAATATTTAAATACAATTTAATTAGGTGCAAAGTTGAATGTACATACCTTTATTTATTATTAAATTGCATTTGGTATTGGGAATAACATTAATATAGGAAAGAGTGTTTAATAAAACCATAATGATTTTCTATAATTATAAAACACAGAAGTTGAAATTGTGAATAAACTGAACTGAGAAATTGAATACTACAGATAATTAGGACTGTAAAGACTTTAAAAACAGAAATTTCCTGAAATCATTGATTTTCCTTAAAAAGTCCTAAAATTTCTGCTGCTGTGATTATGCAATCTCAAAAAGATAGTCCTAGTGCACCTAATCCACAGCTGTATAAATCAAAGGAGAAGGTGTTGTTTACATCAGACACATCAGATAGCACCTATTTATCCACTAATCAAAGGCTGAGGCAAGCTTTATGACAAGGGAGATAACTCTTATTCAATGTGGGTGGTTCAGCTCCTAAATAAGATCAACACATTTGTCAGGAACCAGCAAAAACGTTCAAATATTCAACCTGTTTTTTTTTATAATTAGGATCACAATATCTTTAATAAATAAAATATAAGTCATTCTAGTAAGAAATTGTTACCCAGATGCCATTTTTGAACCACTTGATAGTTGGTTTAGGTACACCAGTCACACTACATGTCAGCTCCACAGCCACTCCATACTTGACATGCCGGTCATGGGGACCCTTTTCTAGGAATCGTGCAGGAACTGTAAGTACAGCATTACAGGTGTGGTCAGAGCTCATCAACAGGTAAATTTACAGGTGTCAACATCATATATAACAGATTAGTACATTTTATATTAAAGTAGCTGCAGATGTATCGTAACAAATAAGCATTGTTCTCCAGATTGAAAAATTAGTTCTGTAAGTTATTAATCAATTGCTCACATATGTAGCTAATGTGCAGGGTAGTTCACTGGACCACGTCTGTAAGAAAGTCAAGGCACCCTCTAGTTATACAATTTCCTGGGCACACACTGAATATTTATCATATAAAAAAACTGGGATAATCCTATCCATGTTCAAACTTGTTTACTTGGTATGGATTGTGGTACTGTAATGACACATGCGTATCAGTCATGTTTAACAGGAAAGTCAGCCTTGGATATTGACACACATGTGTACCTGTCTTGTTTACAGGTAGATTGTTGTATGTACATCTGACACACATGTGTACCTGTCATATTTACAGGTATATTGTTGTATGTACATCTGACACACATGTGTACCTGTCATGTTTACAGGTAGATTGTTGTATGTACATTTGACACACATGTGTACCTGTCATGTCTACAGGTAGATTGTTGTATGTACATTTGACACACATGTGTACCTGTCATGTTTACAGGTATATTATTGTTTGTACAACATTTGACACACATGTGTATCTGTCATGTTTACAGGTAGATTGTTGTATGTACATCTGACACACATGTGTACCTGTCATGTTTACAGGTATATTACTATTTGTACAACATTTGACACGCATGTGTACCTGTCATGTTTACAGGTAGATTGTTGTATGTACATCTGACACACATGTGTACCTGTCATGTTTACAGGTATATTATTATTTGTACAACATTTGACACACATGTGTATCTGTCATGTTTACAGGTAGATTGTTGTATGTACATCTGACACACATGTGTACCTGTCATGTTTACAGGTAGATTACTGTATGTACATCTGACACACATGTGTACCTGTCATGTTTACAGGTAGATTGTTGTATGTACATCTGACACACATGTGTACCTGTCATGTTTACAGGTAGATTACTGTATGTACATCTGACACACATGTGTACCTGTCATGTTTACAGGTAGATTGTTGTATGTACATCTGACACACATGTGTACCTGTCATGTTTACAGGTAGATTACTGTATGTACATCTGACACACATGTGTACCTGTCATGTTTACAGGTAGATTGTTGTATGTACATCTGACACACATGTGTACCTGTCATGTTTACAGGTAGATTACTGTATGTACATCTGACACACATGTGTACCTGTCATGTTTACAGGTAGATTGTTGTATGTACATCTGACACACATGTGTACCTGTCATGTTTACAGGTAGATTACTGTATGTACATCTGACACACATGTGTACCTGTCATGTTTACAGGTAGATTGTTGTATGTACATCTGACACACATGTGTACCTGTCATGTTTACAGGTAGATTACTGTTTGTACAACATTTGACACACATGTGTACCTGTCATGTCTACAGGTAGATTGTTGTATGTACATCTGACACACATGTGTACCTGTCATATTTACAGGTAGATTACTGTTTGTACAACATTTGACACACATGTGTACCTGTCATGTCTACAGGTAGATTGTTGTATGTACATCTGACACACATGTGTACCTGTCATATTTACAGGTAGATTATTGTTTGTACAACATTTGACACACATGTGTACCTGTCATGTTAACAGGTAGATTGTTGTATGTACATCTGACACACATGTGTACCTGTCATATTTACAGGTAGAATACTGTTTGTACAACATTTGACACACATGTGTACCTGTCATGTTAACAGGTAGATTGTTGTATGTACATCTGACACACATGTGTACCTGTCATGTTTACAGGTAGATTACTGTATGTACATCTAACACACATGTGTACCTGTCATATTTACGGGTAGAATACTGTTTGTACAACATTTGACACACATGTGTACCTGTCATGTTTACAGGTAGATTGTTGTATGTACATCTGACACACATGTGTACCTGTCATGTTTACATGTATATTACTATTTGTACAACATTTGACACACATGTGTACCTGTCATGTCTACAGGTAGATTGCAGGGTTTTATCGGTTACAAATCTATAGTTTATCATTTTGAGTTTCCCTAAAAGATTAATAAGTCAGCATGAACAGTCTCTGATACACAGTCTCAGATACACAGTTGTGCACTTAAACCAGCCGACACCTGTTTCCTTCATACACCTGTTAATCTTGAGGTACAAGCAATTAAGACCACCCTTACTCACAACTAGTCTGAGGGCAATTTTGATGGTTAAAAACATTACACCTGGTAGGCCAACTATATTTATCAGTGCAGACAAGATCAACCTGCCTAACCTGACAAGGTAAGACCAAATGTTTGGTCAGTATATACAGTATAAACCTGTCCAATCTGACAAGGTAAGACCAAATGTTTGGTCAGTATAGACAGTATAAACCTGTCCAATCTGACAAGGTAACACCAAATGTTTCGTCAATATGTGGACAGTAAAAGTCTGTCAAACCTGACAAGGTAAGTCCAAATGTTTGGTCAGTGTAGACAGTATAAACCTAACCAATCTGACAAGGTAACACCAAATGTTTGGTCATTGTAGACAGTATAAACCTAACCAATCTGACAAAGTAGGACAAAATGTTTGGTCAGTGTAGACAGTATAGATCTGTCCAATCTGACAAATCTTGTCAGATTAGGCCTTATTATACAGTTCGATAATTACCATCTCAAAGAAATTTCAAAATGATTGTTACATTTTATGAGTGATAATTTATGTGTTATACTCAGCACAGTAACTATTTAACATATGAAAACAAGTTGTTTATATGCAACAGTTTAGGAATATGTAATAACAACGACTTGTACATGGTTTTTAGCAGGTGTACCATTAGTAGGTCCGGGAGATAAAGTACCTGGTAGTACATACCAGGATACATCCCCTATATAGAGCTACTCACTAGGCACACTTAGCAGCCTTTTAAATGTACCATTAAACAACTAAATACATCTTAAACATGGAACTGCTCTTTATTTTTAAAAGAAAGACCAGTGTTGTTGTTTATCTCATCTTCAGGTAATTAGATAGTTCAAAGTACTGAACTCTACAACCTTGAGACAAACATCTATTTTCAGCACTTGTTGACACTTTCTTAAATTTGAAAGGACCTTAAGTATTTTAGTGTAATGTTATACTGCATGGTATACGTTACATTGTGTCCAGGAGTGTGAGCTTTACTGTTACAGCATCGATCATATCTAATACCTACTGAATGGGGGACAATTCCATCAGAAACATCCCTAGTGTGCATATGTGTATGTTTTTATGAACAACATTTCAAACAAAAAATCAACAATGGAATTTATACTTTTAAGGTACAATAATGATGTCAATATGAGAGTGAGCTGGACAGTGAGCTCTGGACAGTGAGCTAGACAGTGAGCTCTGGACAGTGACCTAGACAGTGAGCTCTGGACAGTGAGCTGGACAGTTAGCTAGACAGTGAGCTCTGGACAGTGAGCTCTGGACAGTGAGCTCTGGACAGTGAGCTGGACAGTGAGCTAGACAGTGAGCTCTGGACAGTCAGCTGGACAGTGAGCTCTGGACAGTGAGCTGGACAGTGAGCTGGACAGTGAGCTAGACAGTGAGCTCTAGACAGTGAGCTCTGGACAGTGAGCTGGACAGTGAGCTAGACGGTGAGCTCTGGACAGTGAGCTCTGGACAGTGAGCTAGACGGTAAGCTCTGGACAGTGAGGTAGACACTGAGCTAGACACTGAGCTCTTGACAGTGAGCTGGACGGTGAGTTAGACAGTGAGCTCTAGACGGTGAGCTCTGGACAGTGAGCTCTGGACAGTGAGCTAGACACTGAGCTCTGGACAGTGAGCTGGACAGTGAGTTAGACAGTGAGAGCTAGACAGTGAGCTCTGGACAGTGGGCTCTGGACAGTGAGCTCTGGACAGTGAGATAGACGGTAAGCTCTGGACAGTGAGGTAGACACTGAGCTAGACACTGAGCTCTTGACAGTGAGCTGGACGGTGAGTTAGACAGAGAGCGCTAGACGGTGAGCTCTGGACAGTGAGCTGGACATTGAGCTCTTGACAGTGAGCTGGACAGTGAGTGAGACAGAGAGCTCTAGACGGTGAGCTCTGGACAGTGGGCTGGACATTGAGCTCTTGACAGTGAGCTGGACAGTGAGTGAGACAGAGAGCTCTAGACGGTGAGCTCTGGACAGTGGGCTGGACATTGAGCTCTTGACAGTGAGCTGGACAGTGAGATAGACAGTGAGCTCTCGACGGTGAGCTCTGGACAGTGAGCTGGACATTGAGCTCTTGACAGTGAGCTGGACAGTGAGTTTGACAGTGAGCTCTAGACGGTGAGCTCTGGACAGTGGGCTGGACATTGAGCTCTTGACAGTGAGCTGGACAGTGAGTTAGACAGTGAGAGCTAGACAGTGAGCTCTGGACAGTGGGCTCTGGACAGTGAGCTCTGGACAGTGAGCTGGACAGTGAGCTGGACAGTGAGCTAGACGGTGAGCGCTGGACAGTGAGCTCTGGACAGTGAGCTAGACAGTGAGCTCTGGACAGTGAGCTAGACAGTGAGCTCTGGACAGTGAGCTCTGGACAGGGAGCTAGACGGTAAGCTCTGGACAGTGAGGTAGACACTGAGCTAGCCACTGAGCTCTTGACAGTGAGCTGGACGGTGAGTTAGACAGTGAGCTCTAGACGGTGAGCTCTGGACAGTGGGCTGGACATTGAGCTCTTGACAGTGAGCTGGACAGTGAGATAGACAGTGAGCTCTACACGGTGAGCTCTGGACAGTGGGCTCTGGACAGTGAGCTCTTGACAGTGAGCTGGACAGTGAGTTATACAGTGAGCTCTAGACGGTGAGCTCTGGACAGGGGGCTCTGGACAGTGAGCTCTGGACAGTGAGCTGGACAGTGAGCTAGACGGTGAGCGCTGGACAGTGAGCTCTGGACAGTGAGCTGGACAGTGAGCTGGACAGTGAGCTAGACAGTGAGCTCTGGACAGTGAGCTGGACAGTGAGCTGGACAGGGAGCTAGACGGTGAGCTCTGGACAGTGAGGTAGACACTGAGCTAGACACTGAGCTCTTGACAGTGAGCTGGACGGTGAGTTAGACAGAGAGCGCTAGACGGTGAGCTCTGGACAGTGGGCTCTGGACAGTGAGCTCTTGACAGTGAGCTGGACAGTGAGATAGACAGTGAGCTCTACACGGTGAGCTCTGGACAGTGGGCTCTGGACAGTGAGCTCTTGACAGTGAGCTGGACAGTGAGATAGACAGTGAGCTCTACACGGTGAGCTCTGGACAGTGGGCTCTGGACAGTGAGCTCTGGACAGTGAGCTCTGGACAGTGAGATAGACGGTAAGCTCTGGACAGTGAGGTAGACACTGAGCTAGACACTGAGCTCTTGACAGTGAGCTGGACAGTGAGTTAGACAGTGAGCTCTAGATGGTGAGCTCTGGACATTGAGCTAGACGGTGAGCTCTGGACAGTGAGCTAGACACTGAGCTAGACACTGAGCTCTGGACAGTGAGCTAGACACTGAGCTCTGGACAGTCAGCTGGACAGTGAGCTAGACACTGAGCTCTGGACAGTGAGCTGGACACTGAGATCGGCAGTGAGCTGGACACCTCCTGTTTGATCTGCCTACTTGTAATGTTCATCATACCAAATAGGTTTAGTTAAATGTCCATATAGGCACTTAACCAAATATGGACTTAACCCACAAATTTGTTTAATAGGAGCCCCACTGAAGGCGTTATTAGCCACTAAATCGACTCCATCATCGCATGGAAAGATGTTCCGAAACAGTAACATAAAAAATCCATAAAACTCAACGAAAAAAGAAGTGCTAACTACTCCCACCCATGTTGACACATTGTTTCCCATGTCTTTCTTCCCTGTTAAAAATCCCCCACCTATAAAGATCAAACTGGTCATTATATTAAAAATTCAAATATAAAGTGCAGGGTATATAATGGCTAGGAAACAAAGGTGAATGGTTGTAGACCCCTAGGTAAACACAACACTAGCTTTTGTGGACACATGGCTATGTATGGAATGTGACCTTCATCTCCTTAAACAACAAAACTCACTTCAACTCATATAGTGAAATCACAAATTCCATTTAACTATACCTCTTCTTCTTCTTCTATAGAGTAATTAACACCTCCAAAAATAACTCGATGATGTCATTCATCAATTTAGATTCTAAATTCAATGGAAAAGAAAACGCAATATAAGACACGTTTGAGACCGAACATGTCCATGCATGGCGACAGGTTTGACTTTAATTTTTTGATGCATTGTCAAATAACTCCAAATCCATTGCTTATCTGCCTATTTTTTCTGAGATCCATTTTGTGAAAAAAATGATTAACGATATATTGCAGTATTATTAGCCAACATTGTCTCCCTAGAATCAGTGACGATCTTGATAGCATCTTTTATGTCACAGGAATATTAGTTTTGTACATCAATCATAAGCTAATAAAATCTAAATGTCATTCTTTGCAGGTAATTGTCTACTTAAAATCCAACTTTTATGATAGTGTACCCCATGGCGTGAAATATTACAATACATATTATGTATTCATGTTTGCAATATTCAATTCAAATGTAGGAAACCACGTCATACATGTTATCCATTCCCAGTCATTTTACATGGGACTCATCAACTTAATTCATATGCCTTAGATTTCACAGTTGATGCCACTCTCATGCAAATAGGAAAAAACAGGTGAGTGTTCAGAATTTAATCAAGCTTTGAAATGAGTTAAACATTGACCAATGATGAGCCACGTACCATCCACTTTTAGGTAGGCTTTCCGGGATATCATGTGTTGCCCGGTTTCATCAGTGACATTACAGTAGTAAGACCCGCTGTCCTCAACGTGGGTGTCAATATATATCAGGCGGCCATTTTTCTTGATCTTGTAGTTGATGTTGATGTTGTTGCTGTTGTTCCTGGGATGAGGGCGCATGCGCCTGCCGTTATGATGCCACACTGTCTTGATTTCGCCAAACCCCTGTGCGTCGCAGTGCAGTGTGGCACGATGGCGCTCCTCAACAGTGATATTGACTGGGTGGCGTGTGATTTCCAATGCTGGAAAATACAGAATAAAAAGAGGATAGCAAACCTTCACATGAACATGTTATTCAAGACATCTAATCAACTAGCTATAGCATTACTGTTTGGCTGTGTCAAAATGACTTTTGCTTAAAATCTTGGAGACAGAAAAAAGATGGAATGCACCAAGAAAATCAAACTTGAATTAAAGGAGATTGAACTATGAAACTGTCCGATCTTAACCCTAACCCTAACTCTAACCTTAACCATTGGTAGTCTGTGATCTGAAAATGAAGATAAAGGAAACTGTTTTTAATTACGAGAGCAGTGATTCTCTCAGCACTTGTTTTACGTTATATTTTATTAAAAAAGTATATGTGTACAATCTCCAGGAATGTGAGAATATGCTGGCTGTCCTCAGATAACCTGATGGTAACCAATAGTCGCCCCATGGGTGTGTGTCAACAAACCCCAATGTTTTAGCTCTAGGTGACAACACTATTGCCCCATTTCATACCTCCCCGTTGTCATCGTAGGCCATTGTACATCAATACTGGCCTCGTTCTGTCAATTACTGATACCATATACCACACAGGACTACAGGAACTTGGTTTGTACTGGCAGACAGACTCAAACTTTTATAAAGCAGACTTCTGCCCTTAAAAATCACTGTCCTGGGAGACTACATGTATGCATTTGTCACAGAACGTCTTTTAGTGGGGACCACCCGTTATATCATGAGACCACACATGTACATATTACATCTCAATGAATAACTTGTCATTAGAGATGTGCCAAAGAGGCTACCTATTACACCAAGGCGGCTGGGGTTCGATTCCCCAATCGGATGTGAAAAGGTATGGGGTCACCTGCCCGACCACGTGGGTTTTCTCCGGATACTGCGGTTTCCTCCCACAATAAGACCCCCGCGTGCTAACATCTGGGCCAACAAGAGTGATTAGTTTAAGTTGTAAAAACTTGTTTCATAATTGTTGTAAAATAAATAAAGTTTATATTTTATTACAGAAAGGAAAGAAAAGAAGGCATTGGCTTATTACCAGGCATGGGCTTATCATCGGTAAAATATGGTACCTTTTACCAGTGACTAACTTTCAAAAAGAACCATTTTAATTGTGCTTTGATTTGTGAGGAATTCTATTATCATCACATATAACCAAGGTCATTTTCCAGGTACCTCCCAACGGTGTTAAATCAGGAAGTATATAATGTAATTAGTGAAGTGTTCTACTGATAGAGCTAAAGTGAAGCTCCCAGTAACAAGAAACAACTGGGTGGTTCACCAGTGTGCCATAGTAATTATGAGGAACCAATTATACAATCAGAACTTCAAACTTAGTATGTACTTCCAAAATATATCTCTACTTTATAAACAGAATTCTTCAATACTGCACCTCAGCAGAGTTATTACAAACCTACACTATGTACCTCAGCACAGTTATTACAAACCTAAACTATGTACCTCAGCACAATTATCACAAACCTACACTATGTACCTCAGCACAGTTATTACAAACCTACACTATGTACCTCTGTACAATTATCACAAACCTACATTATGTACCTCAGCACAATTATCACAAACCTACACTATGTACCTAAGCACAGTTATCACAAACCTACACTATGTACCTCTGTACATATATGTACCTCAGCACAATTATCACAAACTTACACTATGTGTACTTGATCATAGCAACATTTTATCTGAACAACCGAATTTTTCAACATAGTTTCACAGTTTGAAATCAAAGGTAAATATGAAAGTATGATGATTATCACGGTAATTTTTGGAATGTTACGGCCAATAAACTCCGAAATATTCAAACCACATCAAACACTGACAAAACTGCTTAAATGTAAATACCAGCTGTCTTGTACAGGTGTAATTATACACAATTAAAATGTTACGTTGAAACCTTTCAGAATATAAACAGGAGTATGGTTGTATCCTTCAGGTCGAACATACAATTTAAGAGCTGAATACACAACAAGTTAACACTGTGTTTTAGAACTACAAGAATGCTGAATACAGAACCAGGCTATAAGGTTTTACCCAAAATTACACACAATTTACCATCATCTGTTAAAATACTTAGCTTTTGAAGATGACTTTTCCTTTAAATTGGAGTTAATGTAAGAAGATAGTTAAGCAGGCCAGAATAAATATACATTATTAGTGGTCAAATGTACCTGAAATTGTATTTACCTGTAACGACTTATACTTGGCCAAACCTCAGGTGCTGTATTATGCACCTCATCTTAACCCTTTCACCCCTACGCAACTTTAGTAGACTCTACCATACATTGATCTTGATGAGTCCATTATGGTCTACAGTGGTGAAAGGGTTAAGGATCCTTGTGCCATGGCCACTGCACTACGTTTTTTTCTATACACAGTAACCTCCCCTTAAATTTCATTTGGATATAGCTGTAGTACAGTTTGCCAGGATACTTCCATCAACCAGGTAGCTCAATCGGGATACTCCAATCAACCAGGTAGGTCAATCAGTTAGAGTTGTAATACTGGTATAACAATCAGAAGTCCAGGTTTGAATCCCGGTCAAACCAGGCTGACCCTAACTTTTATACTCTGAACACTGTTACTTGTTACACTTTGTTTAGTTCAGCTTTATTATTTCCAACGTCCTACAACGTATGGATTACCTTTCAGGAAAGATTTATCAAAGCTATAGTCGTGCCAGAAAAAATAGTTTCCAATGTTTAGTTACGTATTTGGCAGTGGATCCTGTCTACAGGTAAATGTTCCTTGGTTGGATTTCACTCTGGGATATTACATCTGATCAAACTGAGCACTATTGATTTCTGTATAATTTATTTGTTCAATTTGAAGTATTGTGTAAGAATTCTGTTTCAGAATAGGTCTCTATCTATTCACAGACAAGTAAATAATGTGTTAGCTATACTGGCTTTGATACTCCCAACGACAGATATTTTCAAACACTAGTCCTCCGATAAACCTTCATAACTTACTCAACCACCTTCACAGATAGACACAATATAAATGATCATATACATGTTACCACAATCCTACTGGAATATATAGATCAGTACATGTGTCACTGTGGTCAATTGTCCTCAGAGTTACACTTTTACTTAAAGTTAATCAATAAACTACAGAGCAATAACATTAATAAACAGATATCCTAGGCAATTTATCAGAAGACAAGACGTAGCGTGCAGCTAGTCTCCCTCATTCATTATCAAGGCATGCTTATGGAGTTATCTGTCCTATCACCAGAAACAACACTGTCAGGCTAGTCATCATATAAGAGCTATTTTTCCAAAAATATATCACCTAACAAAGGATGATACAAGTTATATCTGTCCATTAATAGAAACAGATCACCTAACAAAGGATGATACAAGTTATATCTGCCCATTAATAGAAACAGATCACCAGACAAGAGACCATTGTAGAGTTATCTGCCCATTAATCGAAACGGATCACCAGACAAGAGACCATACTAGAGTTATCTGCCCATTAATCTAAACAGATCACCAGACAAGAGACCATACTAGAGTTGTCTGCCCTTTAATGGAAACAGATCACAAGACAAGAGACCATTGTAGAGTTATCTGCCCATTAATCGAAACAGATCACCAGACAAGAGACCATACTAGAGTTGTCTGCCCATTAATGGAAACAGATCACCAGACAAGAGACCATTGTAGAGTTATCTGCCCATTAATCGAAACAGATCCCCAGACAAGAGACCATACTAGAGTTATCTGCCCATTATTCGAAACAGATCACCAGACAAGATACCGTACTAGAGTTGTCTGCCCATTAATGGAAACAGATCCCCAGACAAGAGACCATACTAGAGTTGTCTGCCCATTACTGGAAACAGATCACCAGACAAGAGACCGTTGTAGAGTTATCTGCCCATTAATCGAAAAAGATCACCAGACAAGAGACCATACTAGAGTTTTCTGCCCATTAATCGAAACAGATCACCAGACAAGATACCATAGTAGAGTTATCTGCCCAATAATTGAAACAGATCACCAGACAAGAGACCATTGTAGAGGTATCTGTCCATTAATAGAAACAGATCACCTAACAAAGGATGATATAAGTTATATCTGCCCATTAATAGAAACAGATCACCAGACAAGAGCCCATACTAGAGTTGTCTGCCCATTAATGGAAACAGATCACCAGACAAGAGCCCATACTAGAGTTATCTGCCCATTAATCGAAACAGATCCCCAGACAAGAGACCATACTAGAGTTATCTGTCCATTAATAGAAACAGATCACCAGACAAGTGACCATTGTAGAGGTATCTGTCCATTGATAGAAACAGATCACCAGACAAGAGACCATTGTAGAATTATCTGCCCATTAATCGAAACGGATCACCAGACAAGAGACCATACTAGAGTTATCTGCCCATTATTCGAAACAGATCACCAGACAAGATACCATAGTAGAGTTATCTGCCCAATAATTGAAACAGATCACCAGACAAGAGACGATTTTAGAGTTATCTGCCCATTAATCGAAAAAGATCACCAGACAAGAGACCATACTAGAGTTGCCTGCCCATTAATGGAAACAGATCACCAGACAAGAGCCCATACTAGAGTTATCTGCCCATTAATCTAAACAGATCACCAGACAAGAGACCATACTAGAGTTTTCTGCCCATTAATCGAAACAGATCACCAAACAAGAGACCATTATAGAGTTATCTGCCCATTAATCGAAACAGATCACCAAACAAGAGACCATTGTGGAGTTATCTGCCCATTAATCGAAACAGATCACCAAACAAGAGACCATTGTAACAGATCACCAGACAAGATACCATAGTAGAGTAATCTGTCCAATAATTGAAACAGATCACCAGACAAGAGACCATTTTAGAGTTATCTGCCCATTAATCGAAACAGATCACCAAACAAGAGACCATTGTAGAGTTATCTGCCCATTAATCGAAACAGATCACCAAACAAGAGACCATTGTAACAGATCACCAGACAAGATA